ATAGCCTATAAAGTCAAGCCTTGGATTGAAGATATCCAGTGAAGGGCATCCTCTTAGCACAGGTAGCCTTTCAAGTGGATAAAATGCCAGCTTCAAAGTTAAAGATATGGATTCGAATTCTGGTTCTGCTGCTTCCTTTGGGAGAGTCACTTAACATCTCTGAGTCTGTTTTCTCACTTGTAAAATGATGGAATTGGACTGGATGACCTTTAATGTCCCTTCTGGCTTAGATCTATACTCCTGCCATTCTCTTGGATATCTTTAATTTTATGGCATTGTTTTCTTACATGGAACCAAAAACTAAACCAATGGAACTCCCACCATTGTTTTTCATTTCTCTTTTTCGCTTGCTACCTTCCTTATAACTCTTTAGCAATGTGTTTGCCTACATTGCCCATTTGTAGTGGAAGATGGCTCGTCCAACATTTTGCAAAGTGCATATTGCATCACATTTGGCTTAGAAAGGCTGGATTAGGCAGTGGTCTATAGCCAGATCAGCAGCGCATGGGCAGGCTGGGCATTGTACAGCAATGGAGGGGAAGAGCCCTAGAGATAGTGAGAGAGAGAGAGAGAGAGATGCAGTAGGGATGCGTGTTAGTTCTAGAATCAGAGTGAGTTGAGTCACTGTGTTGGAGAGGACAATAAAGCTGAAAGTCAGGAGTGTATGGAAGTTGATATCAGTATGGACGGAGGATAAAGACAAAATGTCAGTCCATGCAGAGTGATTGATCTAGGTAAACTGAGAACAAGCCAAGAGCAGAACTTTACCAAATGACAATTTTTTGCTTTCTGAATCAATATTCTTTTTTCTTTTTTGGTTCCTTGGTGCTGGCATACACTCTTCCATTTTTAAAAGAATCAGTATTGTTAATTCTTGAGTCCAGCATAAACACTATTAGCTAATGCTTCCATACTTTACACCTAAAATGCTAATTGGGGTCCATTATGATTTTGAGGTGAACAAATCCTAACCGTACTCCAGGAATTACTTTGAAAAGTGACATATCTAGATTCTGTCCTGTCTTCTTTTGGCATGTAGGGGATAGAGAAGGAGAAAGAAGAAACTTCTAATGACAAATCCAGGCTCTTGAGAATGATAAGAGTATTGATTGTTACAAATTTGGACACACACCTACCAGCATATGCAAAAACAGGGAACCTGTAATAAGCAGTGACTTTAAAAAGCAGCAGCAGACAAAGCCTCTCTTTTGGCTAAGTAGCAGATCTTGGTGATTTGTTTCAAGGCACGTACCACTGAACACAGACTTGTAAGCCATTTTGGAATGTATGCCAATGACCACCAGTCTTGACTGTAGCATATTGGACTTGCGGTACTTGCTACCTATTTTATTTGGGGCCTATATGGTGCATTTAAACGATGATTATTTTCCTGCTAGACTATAAGCATTAAAAGGCCAAGGACCATACGTTATCTAGAGTTTCTCTCTTAGCACCCAGTAGCATTCTGCAAAGTACATGCTTAATCAAGATTTTTTGGGTGAAAGATTGAATGAAAGAATGGGTGGATGGAGTTTCTATTTCCAGAAAGCTTATAAACTTTTTGTCATGGAAGAAACAAAGTTTTTAAAGATGGTTTGACAGAAAGCAATTTTTAGTATAAAATAGGTTTGTATATGAAATTCTGTTTTAAAAGCCAGACATAGCTATAATAGTAAAAATGAAAGTTGCATGAAGACAAAGACACTTTTTTTAAACGGGCCCCTAGTGTATTACTTTGCACCTAGTAGGTAAGTATTGTTTTTTGAATGAAAAACATTAAAAAAGTTATTCTTCCAGAAGACTGACATCACAAAATAGATAGCTATAGCCTGAGTATTTGGGAAGGAAGAATATTTAAAAAGTCTCTGTTTTTGAATTTTTAAATATAAGACAATTAGTAGATAATGAACTTGGCACATTCAAAATGTTGTCACCCAAATATGTCGCTGGTATTGTTATGGAATGGTTGGCTATTGCTTCTGAATAATAAAACAACAGTCACACATAGCAAAGATGTAGGTCTACAGTGCTCGATCTCAGCTATAGTAATTCAACAATCATTCACCATCTTTGTGACTGTGAGGGAATTCTTCTCCTGAGGATGAGATGAAGAATAGGTAACCCTCTCCATGAACTAATTTCTTTCTCGCAGCAGAGATAATTGGTGAGACTTTCAGCTACCTTTCCTCACCTGGAAGATAGCACATCTGCTTTTGGAATCCTTGTGTTAGAGGAGTCCTTTATCTAGTTGATTCACAGAAATATTTAGGGATAGCAGATGAAGTTGAGATTCATAAGGGAGCCCCCAGACTCCTCTTCCTCCCTCCCCCAACATTTTATAAAAGCAGCTAAGGGGGAGAAATAATTTTGGCTTGGAGTTCTTACTTGTCTTACTTTTATATTTGATAAAAGGCATAGATGGGATGATAAAGCCCTGCCAGGTAAGAGGAAGATGGATGCTGCCCAACCAGATGTCAGAGGGTACTAGATGTGCAGCTGGAAGATCAATACTAGGTCTGCCAAACACTAGCCTTGTAAATTTAGGCATGTCACTTAACAGCCTATAAGATGGCAGAGAATAAAACTCACACAAACTACCTTTCAGGCTGCTTGGGACAATCAAATAAAATAATTTAGATGAAAATACTTTATAATCACCAAGCACCATGTGAATATTTAAAAATAATTTTATTGATATATTTGGTTTTTTACAAATTGTCTAAATTTCCTGTGCCATGCCTCCCCCCCAGAGAATAATCTCTTATAACAAAGACTTTTTGCACTCCGTGAATATGAAAAAAATTCCATTCAACAATTATTTATTTACCTCTCTGGGCTTCAGTTTCTTCATTAAATAAGTGGGTTAAACTTGGTGACCTCTAAGTATTTCAAGTCTAAATACTAAGAGCCTATTGGGATATTAAGAAGTCATCGTGTGCAAAGCAATATTCTAGTGAATTATACAATTTAGGTAACAAAGTACCTCACTTAAGGAAGCTATCTAAACAAATATCTCTAATTCCTGGTAAGTGCATAGGTGAGGTGCAAACAAAGTACTTTCTGAAGCCTGAGTGGGGCAGAAGGTTGTTGCTAACTATGAACATTGTAAAAAGATTCCTCCTGGAGTGGGAGGCATCTGAGTTGGGTATTAAAGTCAACCAATCAGTCAATAAACATTTATTAAGGACCTACCATCTTCCAGGAACTATGCTAAGGATGGGAGATAAAAACATGAAAAGAAAGTGCCCTTGCCCTCAAGGAACTTGTACTCTAATGTGGAAAGACAAAACACAAAGCTGAAAAAGTAAAGAAGAGGGAAGGTACCTGGCAGGGGCCTGATGGAGAAGTCCAAGTGAGTTGCCCCAGCTGGGAAATTGAGATGGTGGCTTGGGTGCCTTTCTTGAATGGTGTTCTGGGAGGAGCTCTCCTCTATACTTTCCAATAAGAGGGGCCCTAGGAAGAGAGGGTATTGATGAGGGCTGATGTGATCTTGCAGATGATATAGCTCCTCAAGAATGATGGAGAAATCTAGAGGAGTGAGTGTGATAGGAAAGAGCTCATCACATCAGAGGGAAGGATTGGGGACCATGTGAGTAAAGGCTTGGATGGAGGAAAGTATGGAAAGCTTTGGGAAAATCCATTGTGGCTAGAGCTTAGATGTATAGTATTTATCTTACCTCCAAGTTAAATTCAACTACTATCTTCTGCAGAGTCTTTCTTTCCCTTTCTCCTATCACCCCTCAAGGCAGCCGTTTGGCAGTTCTCTTTCCCTCCTTAGATTGCCTCACATCTGCTTACAGGTTAAATGTAAGTCCTCAGAACAATCCAGGGCCCTTGAGGGCAGGCAGGGTTGTTCAGTTTGCATCTTGGTATCTTCCATGCATACAAGGAGTAAGTGCTTATTGAATTAAATTGAACTAAGAAAGGGCTGATATCAAGGACAGATAATTTTTTTTAAAGAAGTTTTTACAAGAAAGAGGAGATGAGACAGTAGTTCAATGAGTTAGTGAGTTGGGTCAAGAGAAGACTATTTTTAAAGTTTTGGGAGACCTGGACATTTTTGTAGGGAGAAGGGAAGCAGCTGCTGGAGAAAGAGAGATTGAAGAAATTGAGGAGTGAGGATGATTGCTGAGATGAGATTCTGGAGAATGCAAGAAAGGAAGAAAGGACAGGATCAAGGCTATAGGTGGAGAGACTGCCTTAGGCATTGAAAGAAGAAGAGAGTGGGAGATGAGTGGGAGAATTTTCAAGTGATTGAGAAAGATAATGGAAGCAGCTGTCATCAAGCTACCTCAGTCTTAGTGAAGTGGGTTAAGTGCTCTTCATTGAGGAAAATATTCAAAGCAGTCATTATGCATCATGAAATAAAGGGTCAAGAAAAATAAAATGGAAAGATTGCCAAACATAGGGGGCCAACTGAGGCAAGCTTTAAGAATTCCCAGTGATACATAAAAGACCAGGATGGGAATTGACTCATTGGACCACTCTGATGGCAGGGGCTTACTGAAGGAGCTGAAAGTAATTGTTGCTATTGCTTTCAATAGGTGTGGTTTCAAGGCCCTGTGGCCCAATGCCACATTCCATCTGTTATGTTCCCATCAGAGAAAACAGTTAGCTCATTGGACAGTATATTAGTATTCTAATGAGACTCATCAGATTCTCCTTTGATTCTGCCTCAGTTGCTTACGGGCTATCGGTATCAAGCACTTAGGGCTGTTTCTAGTGGAGAATAAAGTGACCAAAATTGACCAAGAAGATGAAGGCAAGGAGCAAAAAGGAAACCTGGGTGATATTTCAAGAATTGAAAATATCACAAATCCCACTTGCTCTTTCTAATGTACCTATGTGCTGGTGCCTTTCACTAAAGAACCCTAGGCAAGTAGCACCCATTTCCCCCTCACAAAATCTAGGTTAAATGTGTCTGAGCTGGGTGCCAGTGCTTACTTTTCTCCTTTGGGCTATGACTGTCTTTATAGTAACCCTGATATTTCCATCTACAGGATCTATGAGCGAGTGATAGACCCTCCGGAAACCAACCTCCCTCCAGGAAGCAACTTATGGCTTGGGCAGCGCAACCAAAAACATGGCTTGCTGAAAGTAAGCACAGATTTTTTTTTTTTAAAGAAGACGTGTGTGTGTGTGTGTGTGTGTGTGTGTGTGTGTGTGTCTGCATGTGTGTGTGTGTGTGTGTGTGTATACTCACAATGAGCCCTTGTTTTAATTTATTAAAAATCTTTTACTGATGTCTTTAACAAGCTTCCTCACTCCCCCATTGAACCCTACCATGTAACAAAGAAAAATAACCAGTACAATGACCGGGTCTGATAGTGTTTGCTGCATTCTACTTTTGTGAGCCTCTTGCCTTGTCCAAGATGTGTGATGTAGTTTTCATTATTTATTATCCAATGTCATTATGAGGTCTTCAATGACTCACATGGTTCCTTTGAGAAGCTTTTCATTTGCATTGTTGTAGTCATCATGAGTACTTTTCATCTGTTTCTACTTATTTCATGTTACAATGAGGAGGAAAGAATTCTCTCCACATTGGTGGAGAGAATACCCCACATTAATGAGACTAGAGATACATTGGAGTAATAAAAGAAGAATGTAGCTGGTGATGTTCTGCAATAATTATGATTAACGTTTGTAGAGTATTAAAGGTTTGCGAAGCGCTTTACACCAATTATGTGATATGAACCTTGCAACAATTCTATGAGGTAGGTGCTACAGGCACTATTATACCCACTTTATAAATGAGTAAACTGAGGCTTAGGTAAGTGAATTGTCTATGGTCATACAACAAATGTCAGCAGTGGGTTTGAAGGTAAGCCTTTCTCACTTCAAATTGTTCAGCATTTTGTCCATCATACTCATTCCCTCTAGAAAGGAAACGGGTAATGTCCTGTTGGGATCTGGGCTAGTAACATGAATCACAGATGGAAAATTTGGATAGGGCACATAATAGGCAATTAATAAAATAAGTAATTTATTCAGCAATTGCTTTTTAAATTGAATTAAATTTTATATTTTTAATCATTAAATATCTGCCCTTTCCCCACCTCCTGTTATGAATGAAAGAAAAACAAACTCCTCATTACAAACATTCATAGCCAAGTAAAATGAATTTCTATATTCATCATGTCTAACAGAAAAATATAAATAATATGTAAAATAATATAAATTAATATATAATATATGTAAATATAAACTATATTTATTTAAAATAAAAAGTATGTGTGTGCTCAGTTTTTACACTCTGAGTCTTTCACCTCTTTATCAGCAGATGTACAAAATCATTGGTCCTCTGGAATTGTACTTGGTCATTATGATGATCAAAGTTGCTAAGTCTTTCAAAGCTGTCTTTAAAATATTGCTGTCATTATGTAACATCACTCTGTATCAGTTCATATGAGATTTTCCAGGATATTTTAAACCATTCCATTTCTTCAACAAAATAATATTCAATAACATTTATGTATCATAACTTATTCAGTCATTTTTTAATTGACAGATACCCCCTCAGATTCCAATTCTTTGCTAACTCAAAAGTACTATAAATATCTTAACAAATATTTAGAGCTTGTTTTGCCCAAAACTAATCCCTCTCTTAATCTACTTTCCCTCTAATTGTTCCTTCTCCCCTTCCCTTCCCAATTCCCTGTTAAATGAAATGTATTTCCATATACAATGGTGTATTTTTTCCCTCCATTGTCCAGTTCAGCTAAGAATGGGGTTCAAATGTTAGCCATTCTTCCCACCACTCTCTTCTTGTTTGTTCAGATGTCAGCTTGTATATTTTGAAATAATTTTCCCTAACTTTCCTTTCCCTATCTAGTGAATTCCTATTTGTTTTTCTTTCCATTCTTTTTAAAATATCTTTAAAAAATAAAAGAAACACTCCCAGATATTCTGTCTAATTAGTCTCTCTCTGTGGTCTCTAATGATAGGGTTGTGAGTAGACACATACATCATCTCTACATGTTAGAAGGTAAAGAGTTTATATTCATCTAGTCCTTTGCCATTGTTCATTCATATTTAAAAAATTTTTTTTAATGACTCCTGTATTTGCACCTAAAGTTTTCTATACTGCTCTGGTCTTTTCATCAGGAATTCTTGGAAGTCCTCTACTTCATTAAAGATCAATTTTCCCCAGTGGAATTAATACTAATTTTTTCTTGATCACTAAGTCTTGACTATAAGCCTATATCTTTTGCTTTCTGAAATATTATATTCCAAATTCTCCATTACTTTATGGTGTTTTCTGCTAAATATTGTATGATTCTTATGGGGTTTTTTTGGTGTTTTGTTGGGTTGTGTTTTTTTTTGGTACTTCAATTCTTTCTTTCTGCTTGCACTATTTTTATTTGATCTGGTTGAAACTTTGGCTATAATGTTCCTGGAAGTTTTCACTTTGGAGTTGTTTTCAAGAGGTGATCAGTGAATTCTTTCTATTTTCACTTTTCCCTTTGGTTCTGAAAGATCTTGGCAGTTTTCTTTTAACACTTCTTGAAATATAATTTCTGTGCTCTTCTATTTTATCATGATTCTCCAGTAGTCCAATAGCTCTTAATTTATTTCTACTTTATCTGTTTTCCAGGTCAGTTATTTTTACTTTGATAGCTTACGTTTTTCTAGTCTTTCAACTTTGTTTTTAATATTTATTGTTGTCATATACAGACATTTCCTTCTATTTGGTCCATCATAGCTTACAGGGAGCTTGCTGCTGGGATAAGATTTTATACCTCTTATAACAAGCTATTAATTTCTTTTCTAGTTCTTCCTTCCACAGCTATCATTTCTTTTGCATTTTCCACTATCATTAGCCCTCCATTTATAAAAAAAAAATTAAAACTTAAAAATCCCTCTTGTTTCATTTAGTTCAATAATTCTAATTTAATTTGTGTCCAAGTTATGTTTCTCTTTAAGGCTTTGCTGTGAATGTTTTGGAGTCATTTTCTCCTTCTAGGGTTGTATCTTGACTGTTTCTGTCACTATATTAGCATTTTGGGCATAGGGTTAATTTTTTTTTGCTTGTTCATTTTTTTCCAGCATAACTTCAGAATTAATGTTAGGATCAGTCTCTATGTACTTTTGAAGGGAAGGTCTGAGCTGGTCCTGTTGTTGCCTTCTATGGGTATCCTGTTATACTTTTTCAGACTCTCAGGGACAAGCTAGGCTGGGAATCTGCAAGCTTCATTGCTTTTCTTTTCTTTTCTTTTCTTTTCTTTTCTTTTTTTTTTTTTGGCAGTTGGGGTTAAGTGACTTGCCCAGGGTGGCACAGCTAGTAAGTGTGTCAAGTGTTTGGTCTGAGGCCGGATTTGCACTCAGGTCCTCCTGACTTCAGGGCTGGTGCTCTATCCACTGCACCAACTGCTACCTCCATTGCTTTACAAATGGTCTGATCTAGGGCAAGGTCTGATGGATTCCCACCTGAGCTGAGCTTTTCAAGTTTCCGAGCTGAGCTTTTCAAGTTTCTGAGCTGAGCTTTTCAAGTTTCTGACCTGGGTTTATGTCTGACCAATAAACTCAGCCACTTTCAGCCAGCTGACAAGCTCTGGTGGTTTAGAATGACAGAGCTGTAAGTTTCATTTTGGTCTGAGGTTCCTGACTTGGTTATTTCTTTATAACTTTCTGACCATGCTAGAAGCTAGAACTGAGACTTTTCTGTACTCCTCACATCTGAGCCACAAAGCTGGCATTTGCCTCTGTACTTTCTCCTCGCTCAGTGTACAGTTGAGTTTTACCCTAGCTCGTGCTAGAATACCATCCCTGGGTGCTGGTCCTTTCTTCATTCTACCCTGGATCTGTGATCTGGCACTAGAGAGTAGGTGACAAAGTTACCAGTTGGCATCCTGTGTAATGATCATACCCTAATCTGGACCTAGTCTTCCCTTTGAATATAGGCTGGGAACACTGGGATATTCCCTGCTGACTCCTGGTCAGACTTTGTCCCCAGTGACCGCAGACCTCTCTGTCTGTTTCCCCATACTGACTTGGCATGAAAAAGTGCTTCAGTGTGATTTTTTTTCTAGGATTTCCCAATCAGGATCTAGTCTGGTGTGTTTTCTAGATCTCTTTGGAGTTTTGAAGGAGAGTTCACTGCATTTCTTCCTTCTACTTCTCCATGGTGGCTCCATTCCTCCTTCTTCTCTCCCCATCAATATTTCTTTATTGAATTCCAGAGATATGCATAGCACTCTAGCTAGATGCTGATAGGGAACCAAAAGCAGAGTGAGTTTTTCCCTTCTCGGAGCTTGCAAGTAATCTAGCCAGAGGAGACAAAACATGTACACTTCAAACAGTTAAGTAACAAAGTTGCTTCCAGCTCTAAGAGTCTGTGATTTCTCATGAATACAAAGCAGCATATGATTAAACAGACAACTAAGTGAGGCTGACATTATGTACAATATAAATTTAGAAAAGAGGACATCAGTGGTTGAGGGAGGCCTTATAGAGGAGGCAGGATTGACTAGGAACCTCCTGTCTTTATCTTTTCAAAAAATCTGGTGGTTTTAAGTGGGAGTGGCTTGTTCTATTTGCCCACAGGGAGAATGGCATTTTGAAGAATGTGACCTGTCAGCTAACCATCTTTTGCCTCTCATTGTTTCATCAGGTTGGGGCTCTCTGAAATAGTTTCTCTGTGAATGTGATCTTCAGATGCCCAATTTAAGTCTCATTTCTATTTTTTTTTTCTGGTTACAACCTAATTAGTTACACATGCACGCATGCGTGCGCACACACACACACACATATTTAGTACAGTACTATACATTTTTTATAATGCTACGTGAGCAATAGGATGTTTTCATGTTCATAAGGAAGCAAAATAAACCAGAACCTTGCCACTGACATGATAGCTTTTGCTTGTACATCATAGGCATTTCTGGATAGTGAGTGGAAAAAATGTTTTTGGAATTAGGGGACCTAGGTTCAAACACTAGCTTTGCTCCTTATTACCTGTGTGACTTTGGGTAAGTCATGCAATCTCTTTGTATCTTGTTTCTTCATTTCTAATATGTGAGGATTGGAATAGAAGATCAGTAAGGTCCCTTCTAGCTTTAAATATGTGATCTTATGATCTACCCTCCTCTCCTTTC